GGAGCCCGATGCGGGACTCGATCCCGGGACTCCAGGATCATGACCTGAGCCGAAGGCAGTCGCCCAACCAACTGAGCCACCCAGGCGCCCTGAATGAATAAAATCTTTAAAAAAAAAAAAAAAGTCAACTGGGGGCGCCTGGGTGGCTCAGTCGGTTGAGCATCCATCTAACTCGTGGTTTCAACTCAGGTCCTGATCCCAGGTTGTGGGATTGAGGCCTGCGTGGGGCTCTGCACTCAGCGGGGAGCCTGCTTGGGATCCCCTCCCCCATCTCTCTCTCAGCATAAATACCTCTTTAAAAAAAAAAATTCAAGTCAACCGATCAGGGGTCCCTTGGAGCCTGTCCACTGAGACAGACCTCACCTTCTTGTCTGGGCTCCTGTACAATGAGTACTTCCTTAAGTTCCCTTAAGTCCTTGTTTTGTCTCTTTTAATATCAATGTTGCCCCACCAAACACACTGCAGCAGTCACATATTATTTTATTTGTAATAAACAAGTATTTATTAAGTACCCATTGTACTGAGTTGCCCCATGCTATGAGTATCACAAAAATATAAAGGATACCTTACCAAGAGAAGTCTAACATCTAGTTGGAGGTTCAGAGCATCTACAGGAGAAAAGCTAAGTGACACAACGAGAGTTACTAGTTCCAGATGAGGGTGCAAAAGGACATCCGGTGGAGTGCCGACCATAAATCTGGCACCACTGGGAAAAGCACACAGGGTCACGGAGAGACACCCCAAGGTAGCACCAAACGAAGACAAAAGACAACAAACCCTACCTGTCTCACCTGCCCAAGGCACTCCTCATGTGCTAGATTGTCATTTATCCCTCAAAACCAACCAAGTCAGACACAGTTATAATCCCCATTTTACTGATTAGGAAACCTTGGACCAGAGAGGTTAAATGACCATATACCCTCATCCACACTTGACCATGGATCTGCCCTGGGTCCTGGGCAGTGAACACCTGCCTGGGTTTCTAGAATGACTTTTTCTCTCTTCTCTACCTCTCAGTCCAATTATAGCAATCCCTGGCCATCCTCCATGCCCACCCTCAGCACCCCTACACACACACACACACACACACACATTTGCCCTTCCAACTTCCTGTGCTAAGAACAGTTTCACACCTCTACTTTGGTTTGTACTGGTTTATATTTGTCTCCCACACTAAATCGCGTCTCTAGAGGAACAACATTCATTTTCACATCCCTAGCACACAGCATAGTACCCAGCATATAGTAGATACATAGTAACTCTTGGTGAGATTGGGTTACACTGAAGGAAACTGAACTAATTTGGGGGTTAGCTTTTTGGGGGCATAGAAGTCAGGGTTTATTGCTGATTCTAAGAACGGAGGGATGACCAAACTGCCCTTAGCTAATCTACCTTCTTGGTGCAGGACTGCGGGGGTGAGCATTTACTGCAGACATCAGAAGTGGCAGCGGGACTGATGGATGGCCAGCACCCTCCTAAAGAGCTGTGGGATGCAGTCCAGCCACAGCCTCGGGGCTGCTAAATCCCTTGAAACTTTATGGCATCGTTACCATGGCGGTCACGGATGTAACGCGCCATGGAGGCAAAAAATGAAATTCCCCTAGAGGTGAAGCATTGGTGGGAACGCATTCACAGGCAGGGGTGAGTTCCTTAACCCCTCTGGGCCTTGGTTTCCCCACCTGTAATGTGGAGATGTCAACATCTCGTAAGGTCGTTGGAAGGACTGAATATAGTCATACAGGGAAAGCACGGTGGCTGGAGCATAGTAGGCCCTCCATCACTGAGGAGGGATCCAAGCTCTCCCATTATTTCATCATCAGTGAGAGGGGTTTTTTCATCGTGTTTTGATTCTTTATTTAAATACAGCAGAACAGGATTTGGAGGAATGCTGGGGTTAATGGTGTAAGGAACCCTATGGTTTCCAATCAACGAGGTTTCGCATTGATCAAACACAGCCAGACTGACATCTGAAATTGCCACCGAAGGGCTACCGAACTCACTCCTCCCAACTTCACAGTACTGGGCAGCCCTGAGTCCTAGGCTGGGCCTCTCCCAGGCAAGTCATCTGCTTCTGGGTCCCTGAAGTCACTTGTTTGGCTTTGTTGGTTAATGCCCTAATGGCAGTTATTCATTAGCGAGTGTGAATAAAACCCCCAACAAGCAGCCAGCCGTCTGGCTGGGCTAGTGGGCCCAATGTAACTGCTCATTAGCATTTGTGAGGGACACCCCAATCAAAACATCCAAGGGTGCCACACTACACCTGACCCGAGTGACAGAGGTCGACTCACTTCCAGGTGACTTCTAGTCACCTCTCCTACACCCCTGCTGGGCCCCCCTACCACACTCTGTGTCTTCCCCCTGCCTCAGCAAAACCCCCTCCTTTCCTTCCTCCAACAAATCCAGATGCAGACCCCAACATGGCCTCCCCAGGGAAAGAAGATGGTCCACCACTGCCACTAAGCCCAGCTCTTAGGATGGGGAGTGGGGTGGGGGCAGGTCAAAGGGAGGGAAAAGAGTAGGGATGAGAAAGTGCGGCACCCAGGGAAGACAACTGGGAAAATTGTGCTCCCCTCCCTTTGGTTTCTAGAACATTCACATGCAAGACTGTCTGTGTCTTCCTCCCTGTGAGTCTGAACGCTAGCCAACTCCGAGAATGAGAACAGACTGGGGCTAGGCAGGAGATAACCACAACTGTGTTGGGAATGTCCCTGAGGTTTCACAAAGGGGAGCCCAGCAGGAGTGGTGGGATGCCCTCACCAGAGGCTGGAGGTGGGAGTGGGGGAGGGGCATGAGAGATGTCAGGAAGGACAGAGGAAAAACCAAAAAGGCACCCTTCAAAGGAGTCATCCCCACTACATTCCTGAGAATGTGTTTTCGGATTCTCCCTGGCAGACTTAAACTCCCAGGTCACAGCATATTCTGGAAAACCTTCTGCCTTTCCTGCCCATCAAGAGGTCTTTAAGGCTGAAACAAGCCCCTCCTTTTCTGATAATGAGTCTGCTGAGATTTTAAAATCAGACCCCTGCCTAAGAAGAGCTCTTCAAACATAAAAGGATTCCAGCCAGACAGCCCTGCCCCTCCAACCTCACCCTCGCAGGCTTTGGCAAATTGCAGCCCAGGCCTGCAGGTCCCAGGAAGGATCGGCACATGTAACTTGATGGAGAACTTATGAGATGAAAGGCCAGAAGCCCCACAACCCTATGCTCTAGCCCAGGGGGGAACACAGGACCCAAAACGTGAGGTTATAATCACCCTGTCCCGAGGGGGCTATTAAAATCGCCTCAGACAATGTTCTTCTACATCACACAGTCTTTGTAAAGAAAAGCAAAACAAATTTTGTAAGTGTGATCAATGGCAACCTTTGTGGATTGCAAATAGATTCCTCAGCTCTTAAGAGAATTGTTGGAAGAGGGCGCCTGAAGGTCATGATCCCGGGGTCCTGGGATCGAGTACCACATCGGGCTCCCTGCTCGGCGGGAAGCCTGCTTCTCCCTCCCCCACTCCCCCTGCTTATGTTCCCTCTCTCGCTGTGTCTCTCTCTGTCAAATAAATAAATAAAATCTTTTAAAAAAAAAGAGAGAATTGTTGGAAGAGAAGACACGCATGAAGAGGGAGAATATTAGTAAGAGCATGCCCATGAGCATACTTTAGAAACTCTGCACACGTAATTTGATCTTATTCTCTAGCAACTTACAGGGGAGAAACAGGGCGCTGAGAGTACAGAGACGTAGAGAAGCAACGTTCCAGGCCTCAGCTGAGCTCAAGATCTGGGCAATAAAATCCGTAATCAGTCAAATCCGAGGCATGCCACCACCATGTTCAGGAGTAGCAATGCACAGAGAGGGTTCGAAGCTGCTCTGGAAGCTACAAGGAGGGGCGCAACAGCACAACAGCTCTGGGGACCCAGACTGGCCTGTCTGGCTCAGGAACGGGAGCGCCCAAGGAAGGGATCTGTCTGCGCTCACTGGTGAAAGCTGCCACGGGGAAGGTGTGGCAAGTTGGCCGGACCTGGAGGAATCTCGAATGCAGGGCAGGCTGGAGCCGGGAAAACACTGGCAACAGTAGGAGGCGGGGGTCAGAAAGGCTCGCTTTCTGTGCGGGTGGCACATTGTGGCGATGAAGTTGTCTTGGCATCTGCCCACCTCGCTGCTGTCCGCCAGGGGCTCGCTAGCAGGAGCACCAGCCTCCAGAGGGCATCCCTGCCAAATCCTCCGCTCAGGAAGGAGCATTCCAGAGCTGTGCCAGGGCCTGGGAGATGGTTCGGGGGCCACAGGCAGGGTCTGCAGCCATGGGATAAAGTCCCTCATTGGGTCTTCCTGCATTTCACGTCGCGTCTCCCCATGGGTGAATGTATGTTCATGTCAGAGACAGATTATCCTGTGCTGCTGCTGCTCCCTGTGAA